GGGGGGTGGGGGGAGGGTTAAACACTTTTCAGCACCAAGGCTGTCTTTGAAAAATCAAAATTTTCACTGTCTTGAGATCTCTTCAGCTTGAGGTGGTAAAATCGGGCCTAAGGGAGAGGAAGAGCCAGGGGACAAGGCTGGGAGAGGAGAGAGGAGAGCTCAGGGCTGGTAGGCTGGGACGCGGCGTGGATTTCCCCCGAGACCGGTCCCCGCCACTGTCACTTCCTCCAGGTCCCGACGAGGCCTGCAGAGACTGGTCAGTTCCCAGAGCAGCCTTCAGGTGGCCTCCAGCTGAGGCTGAAACCGTAGGTGCGTTTCTTCTCAGGCCCAGAGTTTACTCAGATGACGGTGACCCTGGTAAGAACCCTTATCTCTAGTATCCCCAGCCCGTGTGGCCAAGGAGTCTTCCCATTTAGGCTTCCAGACCTGGTCGAAGCCTCTCCCCGCTCCCCCCTCAGTCCCTCCGGAGTCGAAAACTTTAACGTTCTAACTGCGACAGAACTTTCCTGCGGACGTCAAGGGAAGCCCTTTCTTTCTTCTGGGGTTGCAGCTGCCCTGCCCGGGCTCGTCTCAGAACCCCAAGTTCCTGCGCAGGCCACCCCGGGGCTGCTGGGGACCTGACGCGGGAGCACAGCCACTGACGTCTGGGGCTCCCGGCAGCTGGACCCCAGCCTGGCCGCAGGCGCCCGGCACGGCCTCGTTAATTTTCAGGCACTGAGCGTTGCAAAGAAAATGCAAGCTGCTCTGACCACAGGTCCTGTCCACCTTTTCCTATGGGAAGGGAGAGGGAAAGCTAAGGGGAAACGGAAAGAGAAAGATTCGGAAAGAGAAAGAGATTCGATTTCTCAAAGCACCGAAAATTAACTACTCAAGGTCCTGCCTCCCCAAGCCTGCCCCTGGGCCTGCTCTTTCGTAGGTGTGAGAAAAACACTTTCTACCTTGTTTGAAGGGACGCTGGGTGGAACTGTCAGCATTTCTAAATGTGGGAACTTCATACAGTTTCCTGGCAGACCCAGCGCTGGGTCCAGCTTGTTTGCCATTTGGACAGAGCTTTAGCCCGAGACCCAATATAGTTATTGTGGATCAATAAAAAGAAAACTCTCCTCTGCTTCCCCAGCAATGGAGCCAAGATAAACAAAAGCGCCCTATAATCCAGCTCCAGGAAGGGCACAGTTTATCATTTTATTCAGGACATCCAAAGTACCCTTTTCTCCTTTATTTTTGAAAGGAATTATAAAAACCAGAATAAAACAATCTTTTACAAGTTCCATGAGTTCTGGTTCCAGTTCTAATACATTTTCAAAATTTTTCCTCCCAGGATCATTCCTAGCAAATGCAGTAGGTCTGGGTCACTGAGAGGCAAATTCCCTCTTGGCTCCTTTCCCTGGGTGGGGCAGGGGCTGGGAGGATCATGCTATTTATAATGCACTTCCACAGGTGACAGTGAAATGATTTTCTGGAAAAACAGCTAAATGAAATCAGAATTAAACATAAAAACCACTCAAATTAAGAGTTTCTTTTTAAAAATATAGGTATGTATTAGAAGCGATTTGCAAATTCAAATGACTCCAGTATTTTTTGCCATAAGGAATTTCCTTGAAATTAGCAAAGTGAACGAAAAGCTGATTTGGAAAATCTTGTATATAAAAATGTAATATACTTGTACCAGTATGTAATTGCTGAAAAATAATAACTGCTGACAATGCATAGAATCATCCTCATAATTCTGAATGTAAAGTGTATTTTCCAGTATCCACAGGGGCAGAATGCAAAGGCATGCTAGTTATCACAATGCCTGGAAAACATCTTACAAGGCAAGAAGTTAAAGTATAACATGGCAAAAAAAAGCAATGATCTGAATCTTAATTTTGTTCTGAAACTTTTACAATACTAAAGACTGATTTAAATTTAACATTATTATGGTGAATATTTTATTATCATATTAGTAATTTACTTTAGGCAATGATTATGTGGTAAACATACACATCGATCCACAGAGAAATGCAATAGTTATTTTATAAATGAGCAAAATGACATTTACAGTATTTATGTTTTTTTGAAGAAGCAGTTCAGAAAGCAGACACCACAGGAGATGTACAAAATTCCACAAACATGCTCCACTGAAAAAAATTCTGGAATTGTGTTACTTGAAGTGTTTTTTAAAAAAAGCTTTACTTAGGATAAATAAAAATAAGAGAGCAAAGGATCAAGTATTGTTTTTCATGATCATTACATAATCGTATAGCTTGTAATACCTAGACTTTTAATTAAAATTCCCAAACTGTGTTAACTGGATTGGAAAATACTTGGAATCTAGGACAACAGTTCATCAGCACTCAGTAACTTCTGGCTGGGTTGCTATTTTATGAACTACTTCCTTTACATTCTGTAAATCTTTCCAGAAGGCTTTGCTAGTTTTAGTACAGTAGATTGAAATTTATGGGCCTAGTATATACTCCAGACTATGTGTGTAACTTTATGGCATGGGAAAAGCCTATATTAAAAACTCAGCTAGTTTTATTATGATTCCTTAATAAGTATTTATAGACACTAAGGAGATAATTTTATCAAAGTGCTAAATTTCAATCTTCAAATCAGTGAACTTTGCAGTTTGGACCTGGGTTGTGTGGGGTGCTACAACTCTGGTACTGCTTCAGTTAGGACTTCTGACAAGGTGGTCAGTGGACTCCTCACTTTTTGTTTGTGAACTTCTGTACCTTGGACAAGAAGCCTTCTTTATCCCTTGCTCAAAGCAGTGAGTTGACTTGCTATTGCTAGTGAATTAAAGAAGAAGAATTTCTAAAGATAGTTTTATTTATGAAACAAATTAACTCAAGGTAATTGCTTAACTGATTTGGTCATAAATGTGATTGATTAGCAGCTCCTACATAATACTTCATTGTTAAGGTCTTTCTTTTCTGAGTCATTTTTCAGAGTATGCTGTCTATTAAACATGAAAGGACATCAAGATTTCCTCTTTCTCAGTTGGAAAATAAATAAAATATCTTCCCAACATTCTGTTACTATGAAATATGAAGCATATTTTTCTAAACTAGGGGTAAGAATGGAAGGAATATCACATTCAAATGCTTAGGGGTACACATTGGTTAGAGTGTCCATAATATGGAAGATGTATTTGCTATACTTACTGAAGTCAACAAAAATCCCACTCTGTAAAGTAAAAAAAAACAAAACGAGAGCAAAGCGCAGCAGCTCCCCTGCATTTTCCCATTGCTGCGTTGGTGGGATGGGCTGAGCATATGGAACATATTATTCAGTTTACAGGTCTGCAGCTATTGCTTGTTACCTTCCTATCAGATGATTGCACTTGAGTGGATCAGCTAATTGATTAATTAATAAAACAAACAGACTTTAATGTTATACATGGTCACTGTTACAGTGACGATGACATTTCAAAAATAAATCTCAAAAATTTCTTCTTTCCAAGACTACAGTAGAAGAGACACATAGGGTTAAAATGTAATAGTTTCCATAAAAGTTAATAAAAAAATTTCACTGGGGAATTTTGATTCTCTTTGGGAGGTATTGGATGTCATTTGCTCTTGTAGATAAAAAGAAAATATATCACAATCTTTTTCTTTCTCTTCATTTTGCCTACCTCTGTTCCCCTTTCCTTTCCTCTACTCTTCCTCCTCCTCTTCTCCTGACACTTGTTCTGGAGCCCAAGGCCTTACAAACTTTTGAAAAGACCTTTCTCAGAAGGGTGACAGTAATGTGGTCAGTTTGCTGCCTGAGTCTTTGCCAGGACGTTGTCTTTTGGGAGCCTGATTGTTGGAGTGAGCAGGTATAGTCAGGGGCTTAGGCTCAGGGAAACACTGGGCTCTGGGATGCTCTGAATTTTATTCTTCTTGGTTTCCATTTTTATGGTTGAGTCAGACCCTGCGGAGACTAAGTTCTGACAACTCCTAGCAAATATTTGGAAAAAGACATCCATCAGTCACCAAGATGCGTACACTTGCAGAATTGTACTGAACTGTGCAAGATTTCTCTGTTCTATTACTTGATTGGTCTAAACACAGATTCTTTTGTTAATAACAATAAGTCCTTTTCTTGCTTTTATTATGGTTCATTTATTTGTTTGTTTTCATTTTAAATTTTTACTATAAAAGTGTCAGCATATTGACTAATTTTTCATGAATTTTCAATCTGCTCTGAAATATTAAGTCAAGTTTTTCTTTTCCCTGAAGCTGACTCAGTTCTCTGGCAATGTTTTCCAGGAAAATTTTACACTCTTCTTATGACATCTAATAGTTCCATGAAACCAAGGAATAATTCATACCCTCTGAAGCTGGCTGCATTTAAGTTCTGTAAGAGCTCTAAGTAGGACAGACCTATAACTAACAAAAGAAGTAGAAATAGCTAGTTTTCTTTCCTCTGCTGTTCTGTGGATTCACTGGAAAGCACTTCTACCCAGACTAGTCTGACTCCTACTTGTCAGCTCTTCTGGCAGCTCAGTTGTGTGTGTGTGTGTGTGTGTGTGTGTGTGCATGTATGTGTGTGTGTGTGTTTATTTACAGGTTACTTTTATTTTCTTCATACAAAAAATCATTGCGAATAACTTTAAACATATAGAAAAGTAGTGAGAATAATGTAACATGCCACTACACACCTTCAGTTCTTATCCACTTCTGGGCCACCCCGTTGTTTATACTTCTATACATTGCTCTACCTGGGGATTATTTTGGAGCACCATCATTTTAAATATCCTACTGTTTGAAATGTAAATATTAATTGCTTACCTAATGTAAAGTTAATGTGAAGCAGAGTGTTTTTGTGAGAGCAGGTAGTGTATTTTTCAGAAACACTTCAATTTGAGGTTCTGTATTCTTACTGTTACTCTTTTTATTGGAGAAGCGCTTCTAATACCAAAACCTTTATTAGGCACTAGAATCAGGAATAGAATAATTTAGCTGATTGTCATCATAATCAATGAAAATGGGAGTTTCAAGTACAGACTTCCATAATTCTCAGGGTCCAATAGTCGTACAGGAGTCAGAATCATTCCCATTGAAGCTTCTGAGTTTGAGATATGATGACTAAATAGTTCTTTAATTTTTTTTTTAGGAAAAAATATGAATTTTATTTGTGTTAAAGAAACATTGTAACTGGAAAAACTATCACTAAGGAGCCACTGGAGGGAGGAGATGGCTCAGTGACTGCGCTTTCAGAGGATATGGATTCAGGAGCACTTACATACACACAGGCAAAACACTCATACACAGAACATTAAAAAATATTTAAAAAGAAACCATTGAATTTCAGTTTCAAACCAGGGAGGACAATTTGTCATTTATCAGTAAAATAAGCATGAGTTCATGTGATTTAAGTTTTATGTT